TGACCTAGCTAGTTTTGACCGACCCAAGTTTTACATAGGAATATATAGGAAAAATCTTTAAAAATCTTCTTCTCCAGAACCACTGGGCCAGGAAAGACGAAACTCATGTGGAATCATCCTCAGGTAGTGTAGATTCAAGTTTGTTCAAATCATCACAAACAGGGCTAGGATGGGGCCAAAATGGCCGACCCAAGTTTTACATAGGAATATATAGGAAAAATCTTTAAAAATCTTCTTCTCCAGAACCACTGGGCCAGGAAAGATGAAACTCATGTGGAATCATCCTCAGGTAGTGTAGATTCAAGTTTGTTCAAATAATGACCCCGGGGCTAGGGTGGGGCCAAAATGGCTGACCCAAGTTTATCATAGGAATATATAGGAAAAATCTTTAAAAATCTTCTTCTCCAGAACCACTGGGCCAGGAAAGATGGAACTCATGTGGAATCATCCTCAGGCAGTGTAGATTAAAGTTTGTTCAAATCATGACCCCCGGGGCTAGGGTGTAGCCAAAATGGCCGACCCAACTTTTACATAGGAATATATAGGAAAAATCTTTAAAAATTTTCTTCTCCAGAACCACGGGGCCAGGAAAGATGAAACTCATGTGGAATCATCCTCAGGTAGTGTAGATTCAAGTTTGTTCAAATCATGACCCCCGGGGCTAGGGTGGGGCCAAAATGACCGACCCAATTTTTACATAGGGATATATAAGGAAACCTTTAAAAATTTCCTTTCAAGTACTTCAAAGCTATGATTGGTGATATTTATATGGAATCATCCTCAGGTAGTGTAGATTCTAGTTTGTTCAAATGATGAATGCCTGGGGGGGGGGGGGGGGTTAAATTCAAGCCCGATGTGCTCAGGTGAGCGCTGTGGCCCCTGGGCCTCTTGTTTGAGTGTTGAGAAAGTGGCGTGTGTCATTGCTACCTTCGTAGTTTGTAATACAGTCAAGGTTGTTACCCGTGTAGTTGTATTTCTTGTCGGAAAAATCTCAAAAAAGTATACTTTACCAGTTGAAATAAATTTTTTATCGAAGGGGCAAAAGACTAGAAAGTTATTGATTACTCGGTATATTTTACTGATTGCACCCTCCCCCCTCTACGATATTAAAACAAGATTCCAATATTTCACCAGGTCTATTGATGCACCTGTGTGGCGGAGTGGTTAGATCATTTGCCAATGAGTCGCAGAGTATAACGATCCGTAAGTACAAGGATCAGATCCCACTTCAGAATCGAGACATAACATTTCGAACATAAAAAAGTTCTCGAAAGGGTAGATAAAGAATCAAACAAACATTTGTTCATTTGTGTATCTCCTGAATGGCCAGTTACATGAATTTGTATTGTTTTCTTTAACATTTTTATGTTTAATTTTGAAAACCTAATATCATTATGCCTTTTGAATTTTTTAACAACGTATTGTAGGCAATATTTACACGTGCTTCCCATTCTGATACTAGAATTTTTGTACATGTTAATGAGAAAAGGCCATCGATTTCTATGGAGAGAAAATTATAAATGATGGATAGATTGTTGTTTAATGTCCCTGTTGAGAATTTTTCTTTATATTGAGATACCACCACTTGCAGATGAAGGGCACCAGATTCTAACCTATACTCGGCACTTAGGGCAATTGACCAGCGAGAGATCTTTTTCGCGCCATTTCCTACTACACACGGGACCTCGGTTTATACGAACTGAAAGGAAGGACCGGCCTCCAAGTCCCTTGGTGGGATTCGATTCCGCGACGTAAGGATTGACTCTTTACCTCGCGACTCTATAGAAAGATGCTCTAACCACTGAGCCACGCGGGCGACACTTTGGCTATAGAATCATAAATAAAAAAAAATCATAAATATAAAAAAATAAAAGTCTATATGTTGTTTCACTTCTTATTTCTGCACTTCAAATATGATCATGCTTTGCAAAATTTTAATGTTCATATTGTAAAATTATGCAGAATGATACAGATGTATTTTTTTATATAAATTCCTGCGTAAAATGATAATTGATAAAATCCAATTAATAGCATTTTTCATTTTCTCATCTGCCAGTGATTTGAATTTTATAAATGATTATGGTATAACAATTTTTAACAAGACTTTCAATTAGAAATTTAATCAAATCATATGCATACATGTACTAGATTATAAACTTCCAATTTTTCAAAGTTACTAAGTTATTATCGGAAAGGACTGCATTAATGGACAAACTTATTGTAAGAGAGACAAGTTGATTCCTGTCAACAACCACATCCCTCAATACCAAGTTTTTGTTAAAATGTTAAATATTTATGCACCCGAATTTATTTATTATTTTTGTCCTGTCTGTCTGTCTGTTATTCTGTTTGTATGTTGTCAACTTTAACCTTCGCCATAACTTTTGAACCGTTCGAGATAGAGACTTCATATTTGGAATGCTTACTCCACTAACTTAACACTTTCAACTGACACCAAGGTCAATGACCCTGTGAACTTGAACTGTATGCTAAAAATAGATTTTTCGAACTTTCGCCCTAACTTCTGAACCATAGGGAATAGACTTTATATTTGGTATGCATACTTCACTAGTTAAATGCTTTCAATTGACACCAAGGTCAAAGACCTTGTTACCTTGACTGTAACTTATATGCTAAAAATAGCTTTTTTCGAACTTCGTTGCCGCCGGGCGCATAGTGTTTCACAAACACATCTTTTTTTTTTCTTTTTTCCTAAATATATATAGTTTAACAAAAAAAAATAAATCGGAAAAATTGTATAAAAAAAATAAAGGATTGCTTTTGTTTGGTAAATAACAACAAAAACTGATCTAAGGGAATAAGTTTGTACAAAATGGTTGCCATGGCAACGGAATTGTTTAATACAATTTTTATTAAAAATCATTTTAGGGTATCCAATTGCAAAATATAAATATAAACATTTATGGAAGATTTTGTAGATGCTACCAAAATAACAGATTTCTTAATTGTCAATAAAGCCATATTTTCATATATAAAGGAATAAGTTTGAATACAGTTCCGATGGTAATGGAATACCTATTAAATTTAAAATATATTTTTTTAGTAAAATAGTCACTTTGACATATCCCAAAGTATACATACTTTCATTAACTTAAGACAATATAGTTGGTATCAAAATTAAAGATCAGTTAAATGACAAAAGATGGCATTAGAATCCAGATTTAGAAGTCTGAAGGTGTATGTTTTTGACGACGGTTTCCATGGCAACGGAACGCCTGAACAAATTAAATATATATTTTTAGTAACATCCTTGCCTTATCCCTCTCCATAGTAAAAATAAACATTTTCTAAATGGGGGCCTTAAATGGCCCTTACCCTATATACTTCTTTAAAATAGTTAAAATTTGCTTCTTGATTAAAAAAAATGCACGCATACAGTATAATATATGGGGACAACAGATACATTCATTTTTGCAGTAAAAATCAAAGGAATGCCAGTACCGAAAGGAAAAAAAACTAGTTTCTTTACAATATTAAAATCATTACCTAATGTACACGTTTCTCTACATACAAAATTCAATGCAAACGGTATCATACAGGATCGGAAGACTTTTTTGTTGCCATGGCAACAAGAGTCTAGATATTATTCTTTTTTCTTCTTATTTCTTCTCCGGTACTTTTTGTCCGCGAGTATTCTCAGAAACTGTTCACCGAACTTACATGTAACTAAAACTTTTTAGGGTTAATAGGTGTGTAGTGTAGGTGGTGGGAACGAAGGTCATTTTGCACGCATACGCATGCACGTGAGTGTGCGTAATATGAGTGAAATGACATATACTTATTATGGCCATAACTTTTACATTTTGTAATGATATAATTTGAAACTCCTTATGTATAGATATATTTATAGTGTAGATAATGTGACCCTGTCAAATTAGCACGAACTCACGCGCATGCACGTGCGCTTCGCTGTGATTGACTGAAACAAAATTCTTAATTTCTTTTTTGTTTTGTGACAAAATGGTTTGAAATTCAAAACATAGTCAATCATAAGGATATTCTACAATATGATATAGAAAAAATTTCATGAAATCACGCGCATGCACGTGTGCTGCAATCTGATTGGCTGGAACTTTAAATAGCAATATCTCCTTTGTTTTTTGACGAAATGGTTTGAAATTTAAAACATAATCATGCATTACAATATCCTACAATATGATATAGAAAAATTTTCATAAAATCACGCGATTGCACATGCGCTGCAATCTGATTGGCTTAAACTTTAAATAGCTACAAATCCTTTGATTTTCACCCAAACAGGCTGGGCTTTAGAACATAGATAGATACATGTATAAGGGACTCCTACAAGAAGGTATGATCATCTTGCACATGCACGCAGTTTGTCTTTTTTAATGAAGCTTACAGGGAATATGGCACCAAAAGGGAGTTGTGGTGCGTTTGGGAAATATCTGTAACGGTCTCCGTTACAATTAGCACTAGTTGATTATAGGATGAAAATGCATTAACTTTTTAAAAATCTTCTCCTCTGCTTCAGAGTAGTAAACTGAAGAACTATGTACATATTTATAACGAGGCAGGATGTCTCTTCTAAGAATGTGAATTTCAGGCCCCAGAGTTACGGGGTTTGGTGTTAGGACGGGGCACAACAGGTTATATCGTGAAAATGCATTAATTATCTGAAAATCTTCTCTGCTCCTGATTGGGGCTCTATTGATTATGATGAGGAAGTAAATTTCACTAGGCCCCAGGGTCAGGAGTTCTGGTATCATTTAGAATGGGGCTGGGGCTTGATTGATTTCATAGTGAAAATGCAATAATTCTTTGAAATGTTCTTCCCCGTTCCTGGATATTAAACAAATTAACTACGTTACTTAGTTATGATGACACCTCAAACTTTGCTTTGGGGATGTCATGTTTTACATGTAGTATGTTTATCTAATATTGATGTAGAATCACTTTCATGCATGTTTATTTGCAAAAACACTGCCTTAAACACACTTTTCCTATATCTAGGAGATGTAGAACAATCATCGGTTGATTTTTTGGATCGATTCCGGAGATTAGTAAAAGTATCGAAAGATGCCATGAAAATATACTTTGACCGAACTATCAAACCAGAGGATTTAAAAAAATGTCTTCATAACAACGAAGAGATGTTCAGAAAGTTAAGAGTATTGCCAGAGATAGAAAGGAAGAAAATGTATCCAAGTAAATTTGCGTCTCTCTCTCTTTCTCTCTCTCTCTCTTACATCCCCTCCCCACACATATACCTTTACCTACACCCTTACACACATACACCTTCAAATCTATGACATCACATCCACAACTTTACAGATCACCTTCACCCTAAAAACCCACATAAACTCTCATGGTATACATCGGCTTGAATAGCAGTTTCAATGGCAAGTCCTCCTACTAGTTATTTGTGAAATAAATACATGTAAACATAAATACATTTCTTTCATTTTGTTAAAAATAATTATATACTTTAATTATATACATATATATTATATAAAAATAATCATATGATTATATTTTTAGAAAACAAAGATCCAACATCAGAAGATTTTGACATAACTCTCATGTATAAAATTTTGAGGAATACAAGATTAGTCAGTCAACCTAACAGTGGTTGGGGAAATACTCCACAATTCGAAGATCAGTCATATTCAGATCATGTGGAAAGAGTGCGCCTTCAAAGGAACTGGACGCAACACCTAACTGATGAAAGAATGGGCAACAGAGAGTTTATTTTGCGGGGTACTGACCTTTCCCTGGTAAAGTACATGAATTGTTCATTAAATAGTCATTTATGCATCATAAATATTTGCATCGACAATAATGTATAAAGGGAAACTGAAGCCTGCTTATAAATAATTCTTTTGAGTAAGGGAGGACCACAATAGCGTTTTTTTTTAGATAGGGGATGTTTTTCGAACAAATAGAGTAGAAGAATAAAATATACTTCACACAACGCCGCTGGGGGGTCAGGTAATTTATTTTTGTTTGGACGGGTTAGAAGACGAATTAAAAAAATCCTTCGGAGGAATACAAAATTCGATTGGACAAATTTATTACTTGTTAGCATTTGTTTGGACATAATTAAATTGTTTGGAGGAATGGGCACTTTGTTCAAAAGAATTCGATATGTTCAATGACAATTACATATAATCATCTCTTAGGGACATATTAGAAAGTAAATTCGTTCGTACGATTCAGAAATTCATTAGGAAAAATTAATTATCTGTTTGAATGATTTAAAATTTGTTCGGAGGAACTTGAAAATTCCTTTCGACGAATTAGATAACTGTAGAAAATTATAAAGTTATACGGAAGAATTCATTTTTTGATTAGACAAATTCATTATTTGTCTGGACGAATTCGTTATTTGTTTGGACAATGAAGGATATGGAGATAACAAACAGTATACAATATCAAAGTCCATAAAACAATTCAAAATAGGAGTAGAGCAAACACGGACCTCCAAAACATTGGAGGTGGGATCAGGTGCCATGGAGGCGTGAGATCGTCTGCTAATTAGTAACACACACTGTGTGCTCTTTGTCATAGTTGGGAATAACAGAAAAAAAATTAACTTCTTTTTCAAGTAAATTTATCCAAGTATGAAACAGACTATGTGTTATCTTTAATTTCAAGCTCACCAGGATACATCGTATTGACAAAGGAATGGATTAACCATTTTTACAATACGTCATCGATATATCTAAATGTATGTCTGAAGGCAACAACAAATGTTTTCCTCATTTCACGTAAAAGATTTTGCACAAATTCTGCTTAATATGAATATAAAAACAGGACTGCAAAAAACGGACCGCAATTTATACCCTTGGGAATTCCAATAGATTGCTCGAGGACCTGACCCTATGACCAAATACGTCAGTTCCATTTTTATTGAAAAAGCAGCTGTCAATGATATCAAAAAGCCTGGCCTTAAATTTTATTTAGATATCTAGACAAATTAATTACTTAGAGAGATGCAATCCTCAAGTTTTTATGCCTAGTACATTATACAAAAATACAAGTGGTCACTGACAATCTGGCACAACCAGGTAAAGGTAGTTTGCAAGAAACACATGATGATAATTAATAACAAAGATAATGTCTGTCATTCAGAAAGTATATTATTACGTTATTTGTTTTTCATATCTTGACTTGAAATCAATATTAACTTTGCATCCCTTTTCTATTAGATTTTTTAGGCATCAAAACAAGTATTCTGTATGCATATTATTTCTCCGTAGCAAGTTTAAACATTTCCTTGGTCTATACCAGTTTTTTCAAGGGCAAAATTTCGTAGAATGTTGGAGAAAGACCTCCTCTTTTTGACAGCATATTAAAGCGTTAAATGTGCATAGATATATATTTGAAGTTAATATATCTGTAAAATATTCCGACTTATATATTGTAATAGCATTTCACATGAAAATAAGTTAAAAATCTTGTTTCATCTAAAAGTTGTACTCCTAGACCTGGACTTTTAGAAGAATTTTTTAAATAGGATATGAAAGCACTAAGATTCTATTTTATTTTAATGCTTCAAATATAACACTTAAGTGTTGATCAATTAATTGGTATATCTATAGGGCCATTTTATGCATAAAGTGAACCGACTTCTTTGTTTGTCGGTTTGACGAGAGGCCAGTATTTTAATGTTAAAGAATATCACTTCCATACTCTTTTCATAGAAACATTTCCTATCATACTGAATCGATAGCCTTGAATTAGTTAGCATTCTTTTAATTCTAATTTGATTTAATTTTGATTTCAGGCAATATTGAAATTGAGCGATGATCAATTAATGGAAGAAGTTATGAAAGGTAATCTCTCTCTCTCTCTCTCTCTCTCTCTCTCTCTCTCTCTCTCTCTCTCTATGTGTGTGTGAGGATGTGTGCGGGTAAGAGAGGGTGGGTGTGTGTGTGAGGGTGAAAGGGTGTGTGTGTAAGAATGAGAGAGAGAGGGTGTGTGTGTGAGAATGAGAGAGAGAGGGTGTGTGAGGGTGTGTGTGTGTGTGTGAAAGAGATAGAGATGTAGAGTGAGTGAGGGTTTGTGTGTGAGCAGTTTTTACTCATTTCCTAAACAATACAGTCCTTTGACAGGTAACACTAAAGTTATGATTTTTTTTTCAAATTTGGAAACTTTTGGCTTTTTTGGTTTCGAACATTTTCCCCTGATCACGTTAAATATATCGTCTATTTATGTCCTTACCTCTTTTACTTTCCCGTAGTACGCACCCCCCCCCCCCTCCACTACGTTTTGTGAGGAAAATGCTTGAACTCGTTTTGCCGAAATGTAAATTGTCATTTTGAAGCTGTTGCCCCTCTTCCCACAGTGTTTGTCGTTGTACGGTTGACACCCACAATTTTCAACACTTAAAAAAATTGGTGCAGAGAACTTACAGTTGTACAATGTGCCTTGAAGTATTTCGAGTTCGGGCATTTTATTTTGAAATGGATTATTCCCTCTTCCTTGAAAAAAAAAAAACATAGCTAAGGGCTGTTACGTATTTACTAGTGATGCTTAAAAGTATATGCTACAATTCCGTCTCAATTCAGATATTTTTTTAAACTTTTGAAATTGCTATTATACATGTAAGTTCCTATTATATTTTCAGCTGTCTTGTGACATTTCTGATCTCCAATGAATTTCTAATTAATTTAAATAGCTGTAAAAAGAACCTCAACTTTTTGGATTCAATTGCATAAATTATATCCTTTCTTATTTCATTTTTATTAGAAAAGATTTCAAGAATCTTAAAAAATCATGTCTAATTTTTTTTTACATTGTTATTCGTATGCATGTACATATAAATTCCACTTGTATTAATATTCTTTTGTTTGAAATACAGTAAATATCTACCTAACCTTTATGTTCCTAAATAAAGATTCTTTACATTCTTCTGATGAGAAGGGAAAACGTTAAGACAAAAAACCTTGATAATTTGCTTAGGGTTTTCAATTTGCAGGTTTATGAAATATTACCCCCCCCCCCACCCACCACACCCCCTTCCCCTCAACAAAAACTTACGAATAATTCTTTTTGCTATTGTCATATTGGTTCATTAATGTTCTTTAAGTATTGATTGTTTCATCAAGAAAAAAAAACTGAAAAGCCATTACTAAAAGTTATTGATTAATTGAATAACAAAAGCAATGGGAAAGGGAATTCTTCGAAAAAGAAAGTAATGGGATAGGGCAACCCCCTTTCACTCCATTCTAATAAAACTCATCCAAATAAAACAATGTTTTATCGAATTCAGTGTGAGTTGTCTGCAGGGGTCTGAGATTCCGAAAACGTTCGGTTGAAGGAAGAGTAAAAAACACAAAAAGAGATCTAATGAATGCGGAATGAAATCACGCAGATATCTTAGCAAGCTATAGAGACAGCAAAGAAAAAAATGAAAAGAATTATATTCATTGTTGCTGGTCTCGTTGGAAGACAAGATGAATAAGTATGTAAAGAAAGATGCATGTATTCTGGGTGAAATTATATATATATATATATATATATATATATATATATATATATATATATATATATATATATATATATATATATATATATATATATATATATATATCCTAAATGTATGCATGTCGGATCTACCAAGTAGATACAAGGTCACGGATGGAAATTTATATAAAGCACTAAAAATGATCAGCGCACGAACAATAAAAAAATGTCAAATTTTCGGGACGCCCTGTCCCTTCCTCAGGACAAAGAAAAAAAATACATATTTGGTCAAAATTTGGTCAGGAAATATGTCAATTTCCGATTTTAAATCGACTTCTGCACCATCTAGTGGCCTCTATGTAAGCCTTGAATCTAGATGAGTGATCGTTTTAAAGTAAGCGTTATTTTTACCTCTTAACTACAAACTATCACAATTTTAATTTACCAGTGTTCTGATTTTTACATCAAATGAGGGGCCATATTCGGCCGTTACCCTATCTTGTCCTTTGGTACTCTAACTGATTTACTTTAGTGAAAACTTTGAACTGTGGTTTACTATAATTCAAACTTTCACTGTAAAAAAAAATAGCTAGTTAAAGTCACTAAGGAGACTAGTAAATTTATTGTCCATACAATCACTACCTTAAAAGCAGTTTTACTAGGTATTGGGTATATTTACTAGAAAAGATTAGTAAATCTAATATTGATAAGTAACTTTCACTATGTATGTAAGTAACTATACGACCCCGCTTCAAAGCTCACTATCTTAGCCAGTAAACTGAAAGATTACTAATCGTGACAAACGCTTTACGATGCTCACTAGCTAAATTCACCAGGTTTTTCCTTCAGTGTTGATGTACATTGTGCTATAGTTAAAACTTTGATTTACAATAGTAAAATCTTTCACAAAAATACAAACATGGATCTGTGATTATGTATATAGCCAAGATACAATTTTAAAACCGCCATGTTTTATTGAAGAAATTGAAGAATTAAATCGAGGTGTCAATCACGCCAGGTGTTGCCATGATATAGATTGCTCGGTGCTTAATGGTCCTGAGTGCCAAAGCAAAGATCAAAATTTAAAACCCTTTACCGGCAAAATGCTGGTGTCTCTACATGAGTGAAAAATTCTCGAAAGGGACGTAAAACTACAATCAATCCATAAACCAACAAAGGAATGGACTCGGTAAAAACAAGTAATATTCTTATTCACAAAAGGGTCCAGTCTTGTATTTCGCTATATTTTAAATTAAAGACTATACATTGTACATGTATTTGCTATGAATACACATCGACTTTTGCCTGTAAACTTTTTAAAATTACACGAAATTACACGAAATAAAACATCACAGACCTTGGTATAAAAAAAATTGAAACCTAATCCTCCAACGTGTTCATGTTCTTCTTTATCCTATAACATAGTCCTCCTTGACACGTTATCACAGGTGACGTAAATATAGAAATATAGTTAATAAAGTGGACTGTAGATCATTTATTTTAAAAAGTCCTTAAATATAGAACAACGATCCTTCAGAATGTGTCATAATTTCAAATATTTTGTGGATTTTGTGGAAGATAACACCAGGCGATGGGCCAAACATGAAAGAGAAAACATTTACATTCAGTCAGAATTGATTAAATGTATCAGATTTATGTGAAAATCGCTCATTACATTGTAGGTGATTGAGGGGCAATTTGAAAACAATCATTCATTATGAATTCAATAATCCATAAGTGAAAAAAAGTGTGTCAATGATTGGTCATGGCATGGGGTTTATCCTTGTTCATATAATTTATGCGTTACATCTGGACTTCAGAATAATTAAAAGATAAACTGTTTGTAACTGAAGTATAAATTAGATAAATTCCTTCGTAGATGGATACCTTTGGCGAACTATAAAGACAACAATAGCAATTGAAGTCAAGAATGAAGAAGAGAAATCTGCTATGGATGCCATGTGCAAAAGAATGGTTAACACACTGGAAGACTGTATAGATGTTTTTTCGGAAAACTCAACACCCGGAGAAGTGCTGGAAATGCTTACATTTGTCGAAAATAGTTTGGAAATCATAAACACAGAACATTTACCTCTTATATCAAACAAGGTTGAAAAGAAATTGGAAGAATGGAAACGGAAAAATCCACCAAACCTATTGATGCATAAGTCTTGCGTTAAACTTTACAGAAAGTGTTACATGCAATATGCATGCGCCATAACGAAAGCATCCGCGGGATCCATTATCCTTTTAATGCGTTTCTCAAATCTGGCGGGATTTATGAGATTTTTAGAAGACAGTGGCAATGGAAAATTTGCTTCATCTGTTATGTGTTTATTTGGTTCAGATACAACCTTTCAGAAATACCAGAAGAAATCTACTGACATTAGCTGTCATACTGAATTGTATGTAAATGAAAAAGGTAATTCATACACAACATGATCCAAAATATTTTTAAGCTAAGTATTAATTATACCTTGTATATTTTGAATTAATTGTAAAGTATGGCAATATAATCATCTGTAGTTTTGCAATATTATAAACACTTCATTTCAATTATACGTTTTTAGAAAACGCCAAAATTCTCCTTAAGGAAACGACTGCTAGACAGACAAAAGGAATAAGAGTAAGCGAAAGGAGTGCAACGATAAAATCGATCCCTGACCAGCAGTGTATCAGAAAACCATCAGAAGCAACGGTAACCTTTTCTGGCAACAAAGTTTCTAAAAACATGTTTATATTCATTACACTGTACATGTACAAGAATTGATCCAAAGTTGTGGATACACATATTGAATTCCTTCAATGATACCGTATAATATTTTTTTAAAAAATCATTACAGTAACACTTTAACAGTTACCATATATATGGACGTTTGAAAATGCAGGGAAAAGATTCATTTCTCTAATTAAAATAATTTAATTCACCATACTGTTTGTGATAAGGGCGCGTTAAATGTCAAATAATAGGAAAATGATGTCATAATACATACATTAAATAGCTTCGAGGGCAGCATACCAGAATATTTGCTTTATTTGTCCTGTTTCATGGTAGAATGTCTTCAGTTTGCAAACCTTTTATCATGTTTGTTGAATTTAAAGAACTTTTCTCCTCAATTAAATTATCTAATTCCTCTGAATTCAAATAAACAATTCGCAGACGTTGTCACGACTTTTTAACTTTCACAGAACTGTTTACGTTTGCTTAGCAACTGCCTTTATGAATTTCGAACCCGATGTATTTAATATGCAGAATGATTGCACGGGAGGGAATATAACTGTGTTCGGGAGGGCAATATAACTGTTTCCGGTGAAAAATAACTATATCCGGCGTGATTCGGCAGTTTTTTTTTCAGGGAATATAGATAAAAATGTTATATTTGTGATATAATTGGAAAAATTATTCAAAAATATTATATTAAATAACCTTTGCTTTAACTCTAACTAGATATTTTGTTTGATATCGATTATTTGCTAGTCAAGTAGATAGCTAGTTATATAGCTTAAAATTTGGTCAGTTGATAAGCTTTGTAGAAATCTTGGAAGCACTTGGACTAAGACCGATACAGCTGTATCAATAATGATAGAAGCAGAAGAACGGTACTCCAATGAACCGGTTTTCGCGTGATGTAAGATATTTAAGGATAATAAAACTTTTCGTGATGATGAAAGGTCTAGCCGTCTGTTGGAGGGTCCACCTCCCTCGTTAGCAAATTGAGACGAGTTATAGAAGTGGACGGACAATGCCCTATGCTTGATCATGCTACTGAAATCGAACATCAAACGAACAACAGAACATATTTTGATTAAAGATCATAATATGAAGAAGTATCTGTGCTTCCTCAAAAGCAGAAATGTATAGAATTAAGTGTTCCGTATAATTTAAGAGCCGATTTGAACGTGAGGGTAATATGCTCCTTGTACGTGTTGTGACATATCTAATTTGACATAACGTCTTCCTGGGATTAACAGTGTCCATTTTAAGAAAACTCGCATTTCATTTCTTGTACATTTACTTGGAAAGTGGTGAAAGTTTCCAGTATTATTTCTGCTTGAATCACGTCACAATAAAATTTTTAATTTCACAGAGTTTTGGAAAAATCAATATGTGTCCATCTATTTACATAATTATAAATCGTAACTGCACAAGAAAATTGTGTCGGACAAAAAATAATTTTATATTTGGTGTATTTTGTAAGCTACTCAGAACTAAAACTACTATTACTGTTGTTCTTTTTTTAATGAAGGCTTACCTAAGATTTGGACGGAGATAAGTTCGACCACGAAAAGAAAAGGAACTATTGAGTAGTTAATTGAAAAGGGAACGAATAATTGACAAGGAAGAAAGCTTGGATTTGATTTACAGATTATTTAAAGATGTAATTTAAGAGATGATGGTATCTGTAACATAAACGTAGTTATTTCTTATATGTGCAATTTATTAGTTTTTTCATTAGTAATTAAAACATGTTTTGAGCACACTTCAGTTGAAAGCTCTAGTGAACTTTTCTGATCACGTCTTGTTTAACATCCTTCTGTCTGTCTTTCTGTTTAGTAAGCTATCTGTCTGTCTTTTTTCTAGTTCGACCATCATTTTTATTCCCTTCTTTTTAATTTTTTCTGAAGAACCATTTAGAGGATATATAACAAAAATAAGACCAAATCACCCTTTGCTATTTGGGATTTTAATAATTCAAATAAAGGGTGAAACCTTATTTCGAGGGGAGATAAGAAGAAGAAAGAGAACGTAGTGTGGGACCATGATTTTTTAAACTCTTCTCAAAACTCTTTTTGTTAAAGCTTCCTGAAGTACTTTAAATTATTTACTAACAAATCATGGCTTTTGTTGGTATCTTTGGGTTACAATAAGGATAAATATTATATCACAATGATTATCGATAAGGCTAGTAAAAGGGTACTTTATAACCATCTTTTTCCTTTTCTTAATTCTAAATCAAAGTAAATCAGTCAGTTATTATTTTTTTAGTGTTTGCGCAATAGACGTACATTGTATTTTTATGACAAAGTATATAATAAACATAATAAAATAATATACAATTTTCTATATATCTATATTAGTCCTGGTCCAAGTCCCTCTGACTTATATCATTGTCTGGAGCTAATAGAGGACATGATTCTCAAAATGTCAAATTCCTTGTGGAATTAACCTAAAAATCGTACTTAACAAACATGTAGATAAGGTTTTACATTTTGCTCGTATTAATTGTAAAAAATTCTGTTACATTATTTTATCTTTAAAAAGTAACTATATTAATAGATGATAATTTAACTATGCTTAATTTGCTTAAGTAGATGCATATCATGTGCTTTGTATACTTTGAATATTCCATGTTAAAGAAAATAAGAAATACAATTTTCCATATCACAACCTATATCCATGTTCAACCAGCATCTGCTATCGGTCCGCTGGCTGATATAGGTGTTTTTGGCTGACACAAAGTGTAATATGGAAAAGTGTATGGATTTTTTTCTATCAAATAGATTAGTGTTGCAAATATGTTACTCAAATATAATCAAATCATGATAATTTCCATACGCAGAGTATTCACATTCAAGAGTGAGCGATTCTGGGGTTGTTTTGAAATGTAAACTTTGCAGTAGTCGATTTATTGTAAATATGGTACTTTTAAAATGTAACAATCTAATCAATGACTCGTAAGCTCATCTCAACGAATTTTAAGGGAGAGATTATTTGAAACCCTCAGGGTCGGTGTAGGCGTGGTCATCCCAGGTCAAAGTTCTTGGTAAAGCTTTCTTTTTAAGTACGCTTATTCCCTAAAAATATCAGAGGTGCATGAAGGATGCTTCTAGTTGTTTTATTGTACCATGGACAGTCAAAGTCTCAGATACTGCAATTTAAGCAAATGAATGACCAGATAAATGTTTCGAAGCAAGTAAATTTCTAATCGTTTGAGTCAATCTTTTTAGTGCAGGTCTTATTCTCAAGTAACTATAAGCCCTATGTTGACCAAACTTGCATGGATGATACAACTAAGGATGTATATTACAAGGCTTGTTTTAGATTCTAAATTTCGTCTTTATTTTTCGGATATATAAACATGTTAAAAACTGTATGGTGCAGGTCCGATTTCCAAGCAACTTTTAGCTCCTGTTGAAGATACTTGCAAGCACGATAAAACAAAGGAAGAAAATTATAATGCTTACTTCGTATATTGGATTTGAACTCCATTTTAAATAAATGAGTAGGAAAAAGTGTTTGGCGCGTCTCATTAGAAAGTTAATATCAGACGTATGTTGACCAAACCTACATGACTGAGACATCTGAGGATGCGCACTTACGGAGTAAGTGCTAGATGAAACATATGGAGATAATTAACGTACATACATTTTCCAGATAAATGACCAGGTTAGCTTGCTTCAAATGCTAGATTTGAATTACATTTTTTGGATAACTGCCTACTTTGAAATTTCGTTTATGTCCTTCACTGCATGAAAAGTCGGGTTTAATTTTACCTTAAATGTGATTTAAATGCTGCGATTATTTAATGTTTAAATGCATATTATAACATATTGTGGGATCGTAAATGTTAGAAAATAATTAGCATTTAATACGAGTTTAATGAAAAATTAAAAGAACAAATTTAATAAAGTTTGGAAAACTGTAAACTTACTAATACGTTCGGATTTTAGTCTGCCGTAAACAATTATTATACCTCTAATATACAAAACGTATAATTATTATTAAACATGACCATAAAATTAAGTTTTACGGTCACATTAAATTTGTTCGTTTAATAAAATTTAACGTAGATCTTTACCTCATTATTTTTTGTTAAATTCACACTTTACTTTATAATACTTCCAAAAATAAAGTTATATACGGAGAATTGTAAACTTACTAATACGTGCAACTTTTATTCTTTCATAAACTAATATTAAATCTCTTGTATATGTGATGAAAACGTACGGATTAAACCTTCCCATATAATTAAGATTTAAGGTTGTATTTGATGAAATTTAACATTATTATATTATTGTATAATATTTTTATTTTACATTTATTCCATCACTAATTTGTATGGTTTACAATTGTGGGTTTTTTTGGCAAGTATTTTACAATCTTACACAAATCCATTTCTCATTCAATTTTATTAGATGTCATCTCAATAGTGTACAAACAATGAGTTCTAACAAAGTACAAAATATTTCAAATTTAAGCCTAAAAGTCAGAATTAAAAAATTTACAATCATGATTGTAGCTCAATTATAATGGAGTACATTTCTACATACTAGTAGTAAGTAATATACTGAAGTAATTATAAATAATATAAGAATAGTATTGTATGTAAAATTCAAATCCGCAATAAATCAAAACACAACAGGTAAAAAATGTAGTCATTCTGGACTCCAAAAGACTGCAAAATCTGACTGAAACTGCCCCTATTAAAACTTCTGCATGGGTTGTAAATGGCTTTTCAATTTCCCACAATAAATTTTATCATACTTTGCATAAAAAGAATAAAAGTTGCCAATAAAAGTTGTCCATTCTTTTTACATGTACATTTTAATAAGACACACTAAGCCACTAACAGAGAAGCCTCACTCGCCCACAAACAACAGCAAAAGGATCGGTCAGAGACACCACCTTTCTCTTGCTTGGGTATCAAGATCTGCAACTTACTGCCAGCAAAGCTCTTTTAGACCACCCTTATATTGTTTCCCAAGTATTTCAACAATAGATGTCCATGCACTAATTATCCAAGTTCAACTTGAAAAATACTTAATGTTGACTATGAAAAATACAAGACCCCAAAAAATCCTTTATATCATTTGGTCATGTCAATTCAAATTAAGGAAAAAGTATCACAATTACACAAAATAATAGCAGCTTAAATTTGTTTACAATACATGTAACTCATTTCTGTTCCAACTGCTAGGTTTATTGCTTGATGATTGTAATATAACATATCCTCATTAAATCAACGTTACATTGGAATGCAAAACATTTCAATAGTGATATTTTCAACTTTGCTTTAAAATATCAAAAATAAACTCTGAAACATGCACATATAAAGGTCCTGTACAAACATATGTAAAAGTATATTTAACAATTTTTTAAGCCTTAATTACAATTCCATAACTCATAATTCATAAACTCTCTTACTTCAAATGGAAGGAAACAAATTAATATTTTACTCTTGCAATTCTCATTTATTTACTCTTGCAATATCAATTGTAATATTTATGAAAATCACAATTCACCCCTTTTTTACTCAGAAATGTTTCTACCTCATTTGCCTATTCTATTTTTTACATCTATGACTCACTAAGCCACTGACAGAGAAGCCTCACTCGCCCACAAGCAACAGCAAAAGGATCGGTCAGAGACGCCACCTTTCTCTTACTTGGGTATCAAGATCTGCAACTTACTGCCAGCAAAGCTCTTTCAGACTACCCTTGATCATGATTGTCTTATTTTTTCCACAATAATGTCCATGCACTTATTATTTAAGTTAGACTTGTACATATATGTGATATATAAATCAAGATTAAAATGTATGTGATTGCAGACCAATAAATGTTTAAACAATAAAATACATAACAGTTTTAATCTGTAATCAAGCATAAGAAAAAACTTTCACTGTCAAAAATACAACACTATGTATATTTTTCTTATCTAACATTGAATTTGTGCAAAACAGTAGCAACTCAGATATTTCATCTCTAATAGCCCATCTCTGTTCAATTAATACATCCATAGGTTTGACTCTTTTAGATTCTTTATTTGTCCTATTTCTTATTATGCTCTGCCTTTTAGAGTGCTTTGATTTGAGAATGGCACTTTTGGTGTCCTGTTCTTTGAAGACATTCTCACATTCATCAGAACGCAACTTCAGCTTTCTAATTTCATAGATAGTATTATCTTTAAAATCATTTTTTGTACTATGAAGATGTAATCAATATTTAAAACTGTTTTTTCTTGCTTCTTCTTCTCTTCATGCCAAGAAGTTTTCAGCTCTGGAGAAGCACACCTAGCTCCTAATTTCTACAATAAACATAAAAATAAATACCCATTTGACTATATATACATATTATATGTGTGCTTCCGGATTTATGCAATTGCATATATTAAATAGTAAAAACAAAATCTGAGTTGATTTTAAAATTATCATTTGACCTAGAGGAAACACAGCTCAATTTTGCTTAATTAAAAATTTACAGAAGACTACAAAAGATATGCCATTTTTTTCAAATCTGGGTAATAAAGACAGATAATTATCTATAATTTCAGGCCAGCGAGCTACAGATTTCGAAGCGTGTAAATTTGGGTCTAATGATTTTTTTCACCATCTTTTTTTTGGGGGAGCATTTTACCTCCTAGGTCTTGAACATGTTGAGGTGCCCTTTTCTCTGCTCCTCCACACTAATTCTTTCATTTAGCAGCAAGATACTATGGATATGGTAAAAAGCTGTCATAAACAAAATATGAAAAATTAATAACAGGTGTGGCTCTCCATAGAAAGAATATACAAAAAAGGAGAAAAAACATACAAACAGGGTATACTTATGACTAACATGACTACAGCAAGAAGATAACATTTTACACAATGAAAAAAATTCTCTGTGTCATCTAGTTAAGTGAATTGCATAAAAAAAACATATAATTATATGTATAGATCAAATTTATAGATGACAAAATATGATATGAAACATACATAATGGTACCGTAGTCCGAGCACATGGAATTTGAAGATTTACAAAGTTTAGGAAAATGCAAAGAATAGCATTTACAGCATTTATCATATTAAGACACACATATATATATAGTTTCACAGCAGCAAGCTGCAGAATTTGTGGAAGTACATGTAAATTGGGGACTGGTGACTTTTTGCCATCTTTTTTTTTTTTTTTAGCAATTTACCAATGTATTTACCTGCTTGACCTTGAATATGTTGAGGTGCGCAGCCCTTTTCTTCGTGTTCCTCCACGATATTTTATTTAATGTAGCAGAAAGATACTATGGATAAAAAAAAATATGAAAAATTAAAAGCAGGTATGGCATCTCTTAGAAAAAAATATACAAACAGATGTATTTATGATATAGAGCAAGTAGATAACATTCATACAATAATAAAATCCTCAAACTTTGTGATCTAGTACATATTATGATATGTATTATATTAAATTTAGAGACGACAAAACATGATATGAAATGGGTGTACATACTCGGAACACATGGAATTTAAGAGTAAACTTAAATGCAACGGTTAGCATCTACAGCATTTAACATGCAAGTTATTGGGATAATGAACAAGTGATTTAACATAAAGTAAAATATATTAACAACTTACACTGTAGATAGCAAGTTTTAAAGTGGAAAACAAATGCAAACTTCCAGTAAATGGTGGCATTCTCATACACAATAAGTTGTACAACAAATGATTAGTTCGTATCTCATACTGGGTAGCCAAATATCTGGTCAAGTCACTTTCAGGAAGAGAGCCTCAGCAAGTTCAATGTTGATCATTCTCATAGCTACTTCAAACTTTTCTTGCACAATTTCTGAAAGAAAAGATGTATCTTGCAGGGATTTTTATTCAAACTAGGAATAATTCTCATGAATGTAAAAATTTGAAAAGTTTATAGATGACCGACGAATACCAGACACAGAACAGAAAACTCGCTCGGGTCTTAAAATGGCTCAGGTGAGCTAAAATAAATCAATTCAAGTGATTTTATTGATCTTATCAGAAAATTTAGGAAATCTTACCGTTGTGTTAATCTTCATACTGCTTTTGTCATTTCTTGTGAGCATTTGGATTCCTGTAAATAATGCATGCATAATTGTGCATCATAGAATGTGATAGCTATTTTTAATAATTCATGCTTACGTTTTTAACGTAAAAAAATTATGCATAGCTCAGAATCCATTGCTATTGTATTCTTAGGATAAGGAAAATAAGAATATAAAACTCGTATTGTCTACTTGGTATATAGCATTTCAAGTTGTTGCAATATTTTTTATACTCTTATGCATAAAGATACAAGTTAATAAAACATTGTTTGTTTATTTGTGATAATAGAAAATTTGAGCGCTACGGTTATCACCATTTTCACAAGCTGTCTACATAGCCGGCGTTATGGGGAATCGTCTCAGGCACAGTCCACACTGCAACTATTTAAATAATCAAAATAAGTGCTCAATATATTCTTGAGTAGGCATTAAGAAATAAATAAATAATTTATTACATTGTACAACACTCTCTGTAAATGCTGAACAGAGGAACACTTAAGTGACAAAAATTCTGAAACCAATCCCAAACGAGAAAATTCTGGTTAAAATCCATCTTTAAGTTAGATGGTTAAAAGTGTTAAATAATTATTACAAAATGTAAATAGCGCTTGCCCAAACGTTTTTACTGCCAGGCATTTTATGTGTACAGCCCAGACTAAGGAACAGTAACATTATCAGTAGCAGAGGCAATTATTCATTCAAGGACACATGATAAAATTTTGTACATTGTTCCTACCGCTAAACAGGGTCGTAAATGTCTTCATCTTCTGTTAAAACATAAATTCCATCCAAAGTTTATCGTGCTTCTCCTTTTCGAGTAACTCTCTTTCGCCCCTTCCTCCCGTACAACATCATGATCAAGTTCAACATGACTGCGTGGAACTCTCCAAAAAATTGAATTTCGGCGCGGTGTGTTGTTTTTAAATAAATTGCTTTTCGAGCCCGACTTCGATCCCGATGTAATTGTACTACAGTGGTAGTCGATAGAGAAAAAACTAAGTTATATTCCACAGTTTTGAAAAATCTACATAAGGGTTAAATAAATAAAAATGAGAAATAAATAAATTAAAATGAATAGGGTGCCTAAATATTTTTTTTCAAAAATGTTTCAACATAAGTTTACATTAGGTATAAAGAATTATTTATGACATATTCAAAATACCAAAAATGTACTTAAACTTTAAGTATAAGCATATTTACTTTTACATGTCGATATTCTTAAACGGGACGTATAACTATCTCAATTAAACTATATTATTCTCGGCGTATTTTGCATTAAATATGATTATACTTATTTGAAAACTGTATTTAATTATATCACAATATATCTCATGTAAAATGTACCGTTATACATAAATTAAATTCAATACAAGAAATTTACTGGAGTAAACGAATTTATTAAATTATATTAAACGCGACTTTTCATGCAGTGTTTATCACATTAACTGCGAACCATATCAAATCTAAGTTGCAGAAATATTGCATCATATGATGTACACTACAAGATTATTAGTTAAATGTGGAACTTAGCCTTATTTAATTACAACATTTGTTGAGGTGAGCACAGTAATGACTGATCACCCATGTTTTTAATTTTGTTTTGTTCTTTTGCTTTAATTTGATTTCACTTTGAATGTCTTTTTTTCCTTTGACACAGTTCATTTTTTATGTCAATAAACAATGTTTGAAAAGACGCGTGTTCATATCATACTTTTAGGTCACCTTAATCACTCAGGTGACCAACTGCTATATGTGTCTGTTTTCATTCGTCGTCATGCGTCTTTCGAGGTCCGTTAACCTTTGAACATTTTCAGCTTCTTCTTTGAAATAGCTCAATCACTATCAACCAATTTTGGCATAAGGTATCAATAGCTGAATGGGAACATAAAATGTAAATTTCTTGGTCCCTGATCTCCTGGGGACTGAAGGGTGAAAAGAAATTTAAAAAAATATATATCTAGCCGAATTTGGTGACTATGTGAGTTTACGTTGATGCGGTATATATATCAAGTTTTCTTTTCATTCTGCTTCAATTATTTTTTTTTACGAAAATGAGATTTTTTGCCAAGATGGAAGGAATAGGTGAGGGATGGCTTATTTCTATAAAAATACAATATTCTCAGAATCTTGTTTGCACTGTGTTTTTTAGCTTGAATACTTTTCGCTATCTCAATATATTTCATTTTACTGGTTTTCATTCCAAACTAAGGAACATAAATACCTAAATGTCACTATTATGGGAAGTTATTCTCTTCTATAGTCCATTTTTTATGTGAATATTGTAAAACTTGTTTAGTACGAGCACGGATACTGTATACAGGGTTATTTTCGCCCCGTCTTATTTTCGCCCTTACACACTTGCAAACAATTTTGCCCCGTTTTAAATTCGCCCATTTATGTTTTGTTTAAGAAATTACACTCTAATCTTTGAATTTGCCCCATTTTAAATTCGCCCAAATGAGGATTCACGGATAAAAAAAAAGTTTTTTCGGATACAAAGCTTTGTAAATTTAACGAAAGACTTATATAGATATAACGAATTACAGATATAGCGAAGTAAATTCACACGTCCCCCTGACTTTGTTATAACCGAGTTTTACTGTAAAGCGTTTCATTACTTTCGAAAACACTTTATGTCAAATGAGAAGTAGTTTAAATCGACGAATTTTACAGATTTAGGGATGGAATTGAATTATAAATATCTAATATATATATATATATATATATATATATATATATATATATATATATATATATATAAAGCACTAAAAAGCAAACAACACTGTATATCCTAAATGTCGGATCTACCAAGTAGATAGAAGGTCACGGATGGAAATTTATATAAAGCACTAAAATGACCAACGACACGAACAATAAAAATTGTCAAATTTTCGGGACGCCCTGTCCCTTCCTCAGGACAAAGAAAAAAGTTAAAAAGGCATAAAAACAAAGGAAAAAGAGAAACAAAAAGAACTAGCACTACTACTAAAATACTAAACACTAGATATTTACATAATTACATGTTGAATTGGAAATATCATGAATATTAAGAACACTAATAAAGAAAGAAATCTGGACCGCTGTGAAATGCGTCCGGTCTATCGGGTATACTCGGGTGAAGTGCGATTTACATAATTGAACGAATTAATTATGCTAATTAATTACGATAATCAGTAAATCGTACATTGTTTCATTCTCTCAAAATGGCGTAACTTTACTAAATAAAGAATAATCAAAGAAAAATAATATAGCAGGGATATTTAAACATATGAATTATGATCCATTATAAATTTTGAAATATTTAAGGATTTATTACCGGGAAAAAATTTTTTTTAACAAAAGCGTAAACAATAAATAGTTTTGTGATAATTGAACGAATTAATTATGCTAATTAATTACGATAATCAGTAAATCGTACAGTGTTTCATTCTCTCAAAATGGCATAACTTTACTTAATAAAGAATAATCAAAGAAAAATAATATAGCAGGGATATTTATACATATGAATTATGATCCATTATAAATTTAGAATTATTTAAGGATTTATTACCGGGAAAATTTTTTTAACAAAAGCGTAAACAATAAATAGTTTTGTGGGTTGTCCGAGAGTTGGTGACACAAATTAACTGTAGAGTTAACACTAAATTGAGAGAATAATCTTGTTTAGTATCATCAGAATTGGGTCTAGTTTACGTTCATTCTGGTGAAGTCATTCAGTTTGTTAATGCCATTAGGGCGGAATGACTTCAATCTGTGCATCCAGAACTTTTCTTTGCTTTTTCTCTGAGCATCTGTCCATCTTGGGTTATGGTCAATCACCACTACTGTCATGTCCTCCCATTTGTGACCCTCAAGGTTGAAATGTTCCCCAACGGGTTCATTGAGTTTTTTGGTCCTAATGGTCGAGCGGTGGTTATTAACTCTCCTGCGGAGATCTCCTGTTTCACCAATATACTGTTTGGAGCAAACTTTGCAATTGATGAGATAAATGCAGTTGTCAGTCTGACAGGACAAATTCCCTAGTATTTTGTAGCTGCGGCCTGTAACAGGGCTGCTAAAACTGTCTGTGTCAGTGCTGTGCTTACAAAGAAGACATCTTCTGTCAGAGCAAGTTTTAAAGCCCCCGTGAGGTAATGGGTTGTCCAGTCTGGTTCTTACTACCATGTCCTTTAGGTTCCTTGGGCGTCTGTATGCAGCCAGTGGGGGTTCCTTAAAGACCTCTGCCATTCGTTTGTTTGAATGGAGAATTGGAAGGTTCTTTTGAAGGATACCGCTAAGGTTCTTAAGGACGGGATGGTATGTGGTTACCAGAGGGACCCTGCCGCTATTGTCTTTCTCCTTGTAGCGTAATAGGTTTTGCCTGTCATGTCCCGCCATCTCATCAATAGCTGTTTGTACGGTGCGGGCTTTGTAGCCTCTTTTGCATAAGTGGGACTTAAGAAGACCACTTTGCTCCTGATATAATGCAGGGGAGGAACAGATGCGTCGAATTCTGGTGGCTAGACCCTTAGGCACTCCCTTAAAAGTGTGTGGGGGATGACAGCTAGTGGGCATAAGATATAGGTGGGAGTCTGTGGGTTTGGTGTGGAGACTGAATTCGATTTCACCGTCAATCAGGGTAGATGTAGTATCTAGGAATAAACATAGGCATTAACAAACTGAATGACTTCACCAGAATGAACGTAAACTAGACCCAATTCTGATGATACTAAACAAGATTATTCTCTCAATTTAGTGTTAACTCTACAGTTAATTTGTGTCACCAACTCTCGGACAACCCACAAAACTATTTATTGTTTACGCTTTTGTTAAAAAAATTTTCCCGGTAATAAATCCTTAAATAATTCTAAATTTATAATGGATCATAATTCATATGTATAAATATCCCTGCTATATTATTTTTCTTTGATTATTCTTTATTAAGTAAAGTTATGCCATTTTGAGAGAATGAAACACTGTACGATTTACTGATTATCGTAATTAATTAGCATAATTAATTCGTTCAATTATCACAAAACTATTTATTGTTTACGCTTTTGTTAAAAAATTTTTTTCCCGGTAATAAATCCTTAAATATTTCAAAATTTATAATGGATCATAATTCATATGTTTAAATATCCCTGCTATATTATTTTTCTTTGATTATTCTTTATTTAGTAAAGTTACGCCATTTTGAGATAATGAAACAATGTACGATTTACTGATTATCGTAATTAATTAGCATAATTAATTCGTTCAATTATGTAAATCGCACTTCACCCGAGTATACCCGATAGACCGGACGCATTTCACAGCGGTCCGGATTTCTTTCTTTATTAGTGTTCTTAATATTCATGATATTTCCAATTCAACATGTAATTATGTAAATATCTAGTGTTTAGTAGTTTAGTAGTAGTGCTAGTTCTTTTTGTTTCTCTTTTTCCTTTGTTTTTATGCCTTTTTAACTTTTTTCTTTGTCCTGAGGAAGGGACAGGGCGTCCCGAAAATTTGACAATTTTTATTGTTCGTGTCGTTGGTCATTTTAGTGCTTTATATATATATATATATATATATATATATATATATATATATATATATATATATATATATATATATATATATATATATATATATATATATATATATATAATTAACAGCTTTTTAGAAAGCTTGCCAGACTAAATCAATTAATATCTGCGTTAACAGTGATAAACCTTTTGAGCAATACTTACGTAGGTTTTACATAGGCCCAATATTTTATATTTTTAGAACCTTGTGTAAATTAAACCTTGATTGCATTTAACCTGTACAAGAATTATCTCTAAACTGCATACTAAAGAGTTATTATTCTGTGGGGGTTTTCTGCATGTGAAATGATCTGCCCTTGGGTCTAAATTGATTTTGAGCTACATTATATTGTAATACCTACTCTGTATTATAAAATCTGTTACCAAATCATGCATTGTCAGCATTTTAAAAGATGGATATGATTAGACACCCATTTTTTGGGGGTTTATTTTCTCCACTGAAGTAAACAGTAGTATATCTTGTTCCTGACTTTTTTCCTCATTTTAAATGGGGGTGTAGTGCCACTATCATGTATTGAGTATGAAATAAGTAAATTCAATACTTAGACCTTTGTGGAAAGAAAAATCCAAGATTTTGCACTTGTTTCTTATTTATTGTGTGCATCTGAACAGAGGTATGCAATAGATCATACTTCTAGAGACCATGCATATGGCT